TACTGGAGTACCAAAACTATCCACAATCTTAGATTCTGTATTACGTCCGCTACCAAAAGTCACTTCGTAAACTAAACTTTCGTTGTTTGCTTCACTGAATAATCCAAATTTTCCAACACCCTCGGCTTTTACCCACACAACTTTGGAGTTTCTGTAATTTAAGTCAGTAAAACCGGTAAAAGGAGAGTAAGGCTTCAGAGATATAATGGCAGCTCGTAGAGGCAAAATCAAGAAACAGAGTCTCAACATGGCGAATTTGTTATATATTTTCATTTTACCCGAGGAAAAAAATTTTCAACCGATACATCTACAGTTCTTGTAGATACGATATGTCCGATCCGTTCACGGTTCTTGTAGATACAATATGTCCGATAAGTTAACAGTTCTTGTAGATACGATATATCCGATAAGTTAACAGTTCTTGTAGATACGATATGTCCGATAAGTTAACAGTTCTTGTAGATACGATATGTCCGATAAGTTAACAGTTCTTGTAGATACGATCTATCCGATACGTTCACAGTTCTTGTAGATACGATATGTCCGATACGTTCACAGTTCTTGTAGATACAATATATCCGATACGTCTATAGATCTTGTAGATTCGATATATCCAATACGCCTACAGTTCTTGTAGATACGATCTATCTAATAGGCCTAAAGTTCTTGTAGATTCGATATATCCGATACGTTCACAGTTCTTGTAGATACGATTTATCCGATACGTTCCCAGTTCTTGTAGATACGATTTATCCGATAAGTTCACAGTTCTTGTAGATACGATATATCTAATACGCCTACAGTTCTTGTAGATACGACGTATGTAATACGTCTACAGTTCTTGTAGATTCGATATATCCAATACGTCTACAGTTCTTGTAGATACGATCTATCCGATGCGTTCACAGTGTTTGTAGATACGATTTATCCACTTTGTTCACAGTTCTTGTAGATCCGATATATCGGATAAGTTCACAGTTCTTGTGGGTCCGATCTATCTGATAGGTAAAGAGTTCTTGTAGATACGATTTATCCTATACGTTCACAGTGTTTGTAGATACGATATATCCAATAAGTCTACAGTTCTTGTAGATACGATCTATCCAATACGTCTACAATTCTTGAAAATACGATCTAACCATACGTTCACAGTGTTTGTAGATACATACACACCTACCGATTTGATATTTCAATTTCGATTTCCTATTTGCAATTTTATAAGATTGTCAAGAAGCCGGAGCGCCCAATAAAAAACTGAATAAGAGGCCCATAATTCTTCTTTTCAGTTTACAGTAATTAAATACACTATTTTACCTATAAGTTGAGATGATTTTGAATTCTGATATGCACAAAGCGATTCATTGCTTGTTTTATATATAAATGTCTATATGATAAAAAATATTTTTGATGGTTGACTAGATTTAACTTGAATCAATGATATGATTGAAATTATGCAAACAATAATCAATAAAGGTTTATTACAGAAACTTGTTATAACAGATAGTATTGAAAGAACTGTTTGTATAGTATTCATTATTCATTATAAACAATATAAAAAATATAAACTTTAATTGGTAAAAATAAATAGTTAAATGGTCTACTTTAAGACGTTTCGGTGTTCGTCCGAATAATAGCTCGATATTTTCTCAAATTTAGCGCTTATATTTACTGCAAAACAGTACTATAAGTACTATATTTCAATTGTGTATATCAACACTTAATATTTTTAAACGTTTTTCACTAATCATTCAGCTTTTTAGATTGATCGTAATAAACAGAGATTGTGTTGTTAAGTTATGACACCATTGATGAATATGTAATCTTATTGGTGAAAAGACGAGTCGCCATTTTTACTTTCCATACACACGTGGATTTAAAGGCTCAAATTTCGACGTTTAGCTGTGAACACTATTACTGTTTAGCTAAGCAAAAAAAATTTCCGTGTCAAGGACCGAGGTGTAATCGGTCAAACGGATAGCAAACGTGTAGGTCTACCTTTAAAGTTTCTACAATAAATTAAATCTAATAACACACCATGTCAGATTTGAGATCAATATATTTTGAAGGCGGTGAGATTTAATTTTAGATCAATGAGATGACTGGTGCATTTTATTTTTTTTTTAAAATAGTTCCGATGACTGAACAATGAATGAAACTAGAACTATAATATTTATAAATGGTATTCAGGGTTTCAGTCATTCGTTTAGCACATTAAATTATTTATTCATTTTTCATTAGAATAATGATTTAAGTTTACTAATTATCGATTATGTTATTCTGGAGTATCATTAAGTTTGTTTTTAATTACTATTTTTGTTTATTTAATTACGATTTTGTTTATTGTTAAACTGTATTCGGTAACCATAATTCTTAAAATATTGAATATTTCTTCAAACAACCACCTTAAAGCAAGACTGGTATCAATAAATAGTATTGTTTTTACTCGTGTTTAAACAGTAGAGATTTTAGGGTGTATCTCAATCATCTTATTCTAGTCAGTTCTACCAACAAACATTCTACTGTGAAAGTTCCGCTGAGGCTCTGCAACACATCATGGTACTGAACGACTGCCATTTTATACCGGCACTAAGTCAAGATTGTCATGTGATCACGTGATTATGGTAATATAAACATCAGAGGCTAGATGTTCCGGACTAAAAGTGTTTGTAAACAAATGTCAATGATACAACAAATTCATAAGATATGTATTCAAAATGATAATACAATGTATCATGTTGGCCATCCAATACACAATATAGCCGTTGTTAGTTATTATCCTCATGAGTTTCTAAATCTATGGACTATAATAATAGAAAAATTACTATCCCTTGACACATCACTGCTAAATAAACAGGCTCGCCCCAGAAGACACGACGACATCGACCATTCATTACAGAGACAGATTCAGCTGGACAGATAACTGCCAGATGTTAATGCAATAACTTCAACCAACCTAAAACTTTATTATTGAGAGTTTACGATAATGATGAAAAATACTAAGTTACAATGCTTCTGACACTAATAATGATAATAATAATAATAATAATAATAATTCTGGCCATGGAGACAATACAATACAAAAAATTTGTTTAAAAATACACAGGTAAATGACCACAATACTATAAATGTACAAGATGCGGCGGGTTCAGATAGTAGGTTATATACGGTGGGATTACCAACTTGTGATTAATT